TTACACTAAAAACAAGTCGCTCACTATAGTAAGCCGATCGGCATTCTTATAATCAGCAATAGATATGTAGGAAAACGTTGCCCACCCCTGTCTTATAGCATGCACGGTGATCTATGGACCATTGTTCGAGAAACGGTGCAGCGTGTATTAGTGATCGCATCGCATATGTATATACGTACCGGCAAACATGTTTACGTTCGGACAACAAAACAGGCTCCATTTCTCGAGAGCTTATTCCTGTCATGAGGTTAGTGTATCCATGATTTTTTTATGTGAGATGGTAGCAAGCGATCTGACGGTTCACCTGATGTTAAGTGATAACCGCCCCTCACGGACATTTGCAACACCCGTGGGGTTGCCTTTTAATAAAGTGGGCCCCGGGTACCTCACGTCTGATTATTTATTGTCTATTTTATTTCTATTTTGTGCCGTGTCTACTTAATTGTTAGCATTTTTATCTTTGTAGTGATTCGTGAGTAATGTAGTTTATTTGCAAAGTAGTATTAAATCTTGTAGGCTATATAAATTTTATATTTATACTGCGTAGCAGAGATTTACATAAATTATTCCGTCCTCAATTTTGATAGTTTTTAGTCAAATAACTGAAATAACTGAAAAATGCAAAGAGGTCGGAAGTATTTCTACCTAATAGCAGAAATATCTTAAATCTTCTCAATTTTAATTGCAAACTTCCTTAATATCATAAATAGTTTAAAATTATTTAAGCCAGAATCGGTTTCTGCTAAACGAAATGCTAAGCTTGTTTGTTGGCGTCATTTCTATAGATACAGATTCTATGCTTGCAAACATTAGCACTAATTTGCGATTTGCGTCTGTGTTGCAAGCACTTGAGGGCTCAAGTCGATTGCTAAATATCCACGAATCTAAGGCAGCTTAAGTTATCGTGAATGGGGACGTCTATTTGCAGTTCTTAGTTCCAAGGAGACCTCTTAAGTCAAGTTATGCCCATTCGTGTTTAGGGTCGTAACTTCAGCATTCAGTTTCACAATTGCACTAACGCAGTGTTCCAAATATAAAATGAAACATAAACGGGTGTCACTGATTGGGCGGCCATATTCACAAACAACTCGATGCCATAGTTTTGCACAACTCAAAATGTAATAATGGAGGTTCAAAAAATAAATAAAGTAATAAAAGTACAATCATTATTACGTGAAAATATTATCGAAAAGCTATTTTTCGAGTAGGCAGAAATATAGTGTAAAGAAAGCAATATGAAAGTTGTCCACCGCCCGTGGTGGCCAAAAAACCTGTCTGATGTTATTACTTTCGGTAGACTATTAAAGCTTCATCGAATGCTGAACTCGTGGTTTACTGAGAACCCACGAATTATCTAATCTGGAGGGATGTTGCCTACGGGTCATCGAGATTCGGAAAGGACCGTAACCGTTGACTCAATTTTTTTTATAAAGATGCCGCGTGTCCATACTGCGCGACGTTTAAAAATTGTTCAGCTTTACATTATATGACATATACAGCGTGTCTTTACAATCGCGACAATAAATGACACATATAGGGAATAACTTTTTAAAATTGTATTAAACATTTACATTCTTTAAACATCAATATTTACGGAGTTATTTAATTTTCCAAAACAAAGAATTTTAGAACACCCTAAAACCAACACCCTGTCTTTAAAAGAGACAAAACATACATTAGACGTTTAGGATGTTACAAATTTTGTTTCTTTTTTACTTAATTAGTTTTTTGAAAAATATTTTTTTTTATTATGTATTTTGTTTAACGTTAATATTTTTTTATGATTATTGACAAGTAGCGTTAGACGTGTGTTCATTTATTGTCTCGGTGGTAACGACACGTTGTATAATTGAATGTCACAGATGATATAAGAATGTATGAAAGGAAAAGAGATAGCATTATATAGAATTGGAATCTAATTAAACCAATTGGAGAAGTCCTCAGTTTCGGTGCGCTAGTGTCATGTACAATTCGTATTTGTATATAATTATATCATTGCGTTGACTATAATAATCGTTGGCTGGGGGCGAAGGAAACCGCCCTGGAATGCGGGTGTATCTTGTGTACGCACTGTGTTAGTATCGCCGAGCTCGTAGACGAATTGATTGTGTACTAGCACTATGTGTGGGTTTAGTGTTGACTTGCGGGACCCACGATGGGTCCGACGTCCCTTCATCGACTGGGTAGTTGAGGACGTGACGCGGTAAACGTTTGTGAGAGGTCGTGTTAGTTTCGGGATGACAATTAGCTGAGCTTACCACCAGACGCTTAGGATGTGTTTCGGCTCTGTACCGTTTGACACTTCAATATGACGTGACGCGGTAAACGTTTGTGAGAGGTCGTGTTAGTTTCGGGATGACAATTAGCTGAGCTTACCACCAGACGCTTAGGATGTGTTTCGGCTCTGTACCGTTTGACACTTCAATATGACGTGACGCGGTAAACGTTTGTGAGAGGTCGTGTTAGTTTCGGGATGACAATTAGCTGAGCTTACCACCAGACGCTTAGGATGTGTTTGTGTACCGTTTGTTTCGTCTCTGAACCGTTTGACACTTCAATATGACGTGACGCGGTAAACGTTTGTGAAGGTCGTGTTAGTTTCGTGTTAGTTTGACACTTTTCGGGATGACAATTAGCTGAGCTTACCACCAGACGCTTAGGATGTGTTTCGGCTCTGAACCGTTTGACACTTCAATATGACGTGACGCGGTAAACGTTTGTGAGAGGTCGTGTTAGTTTCGGGATGACAATTAGCTGAGCTTACCACCAGACGCTTAGGATGTGTTTCGGCTCTGAACCGTTTGACACTTCAATATGACGTGACGCGGTAAACGTTTGTGAGAGGTCGTGTTAGTTTCGGGATGACAATTAGCTGAGCTTACCACCAGACGCTTAGGATGTGTTTCGGCTCTGAACCGTTTGACACTTCAATATGACGTGACGCGGTAAACGTTTGTGAGAGGTCGTGTTAGTTTCGGGATGACAATTAGCTGAGCTTATCACCAGACGCTTAGAATGTGTTTCGTCTCTGAACCGTTTGACACTTCAATATGACGTGACGCGGTAAACGTTTGTGAGAGGTCGTGTTAGTTTCGGGATGACAATTAGCTGAGCTTACCACCAGACGCTTAGGATGTGTTTCGGCTCTGAACCGTTTGACACTTCAATATGACGTGACGCGGTAAACGTTTGTGAGAGGTCGTGTTAGTTTCGGGATGACAATTAGCTGAGCTTACCACCAGACGCTTAGGATGTGTTTCGGCTCTGAACCGTTTTGACACTTCAATATGACGTGACGCGGTAAACGTTTGTGAGAGGTCGTGTTAGTTTCGGGATGACAATTAGCTGAGCTTACCACCAGACGCTTAGAATGTGTTTCGTCTCTGAACCGTTTGACACTTCAATATGACGTGACGCGGTAAACGTTTGTGAGAGGTCGTGTTAGTTTCGGGATGACAATTAGCTGAGCTTACCACCAGACGCTTAGGATGTGTTTCGGCTCTGAACCGTTTGACACTTCAATATGAATCCTTAAGCCGTTTATGCGTGACGACACCACATTGGTAAGTACTTACTAATGAGGCGGAACAAATATTACTAACTTATTCTGTCGCACTAACGGGCAGACAGACAAGCAGACGTGGTCGCGAACAAGCCCGGCTTATCGGCGACGGGTGATCCAGCTAGTTGAAATCGGATCCGTAGAGCGATCCCGGCCACCCGCCGACCGCAGTCCCACGGTGCGACAGTGGCCGATGGTTTGAAAGCGGCTCGGCGTGGAGGTAAATACATAACCGAGCGATATGATAGTACGGAGCCGTGATAGCTCAGTGTCCGGGCGCTCGCCTTTAATTCAATATACTCGAGCAACCCGAGTTCGATCCCCAGTGCGGGCACCAATGAAATTGTCAATTTTAAGTGCTGAATTATCACGTATAAAACATCGTTAATCCAATTTAACTTTTAATAATTAACTTTTTAAGAAAACATTGTTAATCCAGTCAAACCTGCATATTTTCGAAATAATAACAAAAAAAAAATATTTCGAAGATATGTCAAGTCCGCAGTGGGGCCGCGTAGTGGACTATGCCCTGATACCCTCGATAATATATGATCATTTTGATTGATAGAGCTGGCAAAATGCTCAATCTCAGAAAGGTTAAATATAAATATCGGTATATTATTAAACTGCACTCATCATTTTAGTGCAATAACATCATTAAAAATAAGGAATAATCAATGTGTTTTCCCACTAAGGAATATAAAAACAGCTACCAACTATTTCACAAAAATTTTTACTCAGTGTGTAGATCAAGTCCACAACATAGAGATTGTGTCATCCAGTCTTCTATGTTTACGTGGTAACTGTAGTGAAAAACACAACAGTGCAACTATGAATGTAATTGTATATATCACAATAAAGAGATGTTTTTTCAGAGCTTACACTTACATCAACTCTAGCTTAGTCAATCCAAATCCAATAAAAAAAACTCCATATATGGATGTTGTCTTCAAAGTGTTCGACCTTGTTGGCACTGAAACTTTCTTACACCGAGGCCAAATTAAGGCATTAAAATCCGACTACGGTTCTTGGCCGCCTTATTTCGAATGGATGTCATTCGCCAAAATGTACAAGTAAACAACCTCATACATTTGTTTTTTTTTTTTAAATCAAAACCACGAAATGTATATGTTATATGCGTGACTTGTTTGTTGTTAAATAGACTGAATGTAATTATGATATTTCAAAAGGATGGGCGTGCCTACAATAAAACTTACTGTTATCTTATTATTATATGTACTCATAAAATCGTTTATTCCGATTGACTATAAAAGCAGAGCCAAAACTAACAAGTCTAGGAAACTAAAATTTGTGATAAATGTTAATTTTATAACGTAAGCATCCGCTAAGAAAGGGTATTGTGGGATTTTGGAGTAAGAACCGCGCGTGCAAAACCGCGGGCGACGACTAGTGTTGATATAAATCAGAGTTCACTCACCCTATGGCTCCTCGAGGCCTTTGGGTCCAGGTACGTGCGCAGCTTGTTGAGGTAGTGTGCCGGGGAGTCCTTCGCCTGCACCATGTCCTGGTCGCAGATGATCTCCCACTTCTTCTCCAGGTCGTAGTTCCGCAGGAGCTTCGCCTTGTCCGGGGGAAGGTCCATCGATGCCTGAAACAAAAGATCCTTAAGTTAGATACTAATCGTCTGTACTTATTAATAATCTCCAAATATAACTTCATTTATATGAGATCAATTGGGTATGACTGTCTTCATTTTATTATTCACTAGCTTCCCGACTTCGCACGTGTGCAATGTATTATGAATATAAATCTTCCTCTTGAATCACTCTATCTAGTAAAAACCGCATCAAAATCTTTTGCGCAGTTTTAAAGATCTAAGTATACATGACATGGGACAGACAACGGGACGATTTTGTTTTATACTATGTTATGATATAGACATATTTATTTTATTTCATTTATTCATTTTAATTTATGATATTCATTGTAACTAAAAAAAAATTAATAAGTATCGTTGTCTGTCATGTATTGCAACATTTACCGCGAGTTGATTACACATATAAACGCTTCAGGTACATGTGCTCGGCGATTTACGACAATGTATTCTCAAGGTGGACTACACGAGTCGAATGCCTCAGTATGGTTCATTAAAATCTTGCTTTTTATTATAAAAACAAACTACTGACAGATAAAATCTTACACTTTTTAAACGGTTTTATTTAGCTCGACACGTACGGAATTTGTTTATTTATTTGGGTCAAAATTAGAAATTGAAATTTAAGCACCTTCCCGTTGTCAGATTGATCTGAAATTTGGTACACACATTTAATTTAGATGACAATACAATATTGTAGTTTTCAGTGCACAAAAAAAAACATAAAATAAAACCGTTTAACTTAAAAGTTTTTAAACGGTTTTATTTTATTTATTCATGTATCAAAATGCGTACCAACGTCTAGTTAATACAGTAAACATATATTTAAATATCGTCAGTGTATCAACTCCATCGTTAAGTATAAGTATATTTGTATGTATGTATTCGTTTATCTGTTCATACCACCCTAAAATTTACTGGGAAATAGATAATGCTTGGCATTAAATCGGCCTTTGTACTATTTGTGAATAAAGACTAACGCACGGTTACTGAAACACTGATCATCGTAGAAGTCAACTAAGCACCTGTCGAATGGCTTAACAAATGTTATTTAAATTGCCAAAAGGATTAACCATCCTAGCTCTCTGAATTGATCAGAATGATCTTCTCAATGATCAGAATGATCAATTCAAAGAGTTTTATACATCCTTTTGGCAACTCAAAGGACATTTGAAAAGCCATTTGACTGCTGATCAGTTAACATCTACGATGATTAGTGTTTCAGAAACCGGTCGTAAATATAATAAATATGATACTCGTGTGCAGTTACAAACAAAATTCGACTTGGGCTGTCGCGTGCCTTTAGCGGCTGCCAGACGCGCGCATACACGAATATCTAAACGGGGATCTAGCGGCACTGAACCAGTTCCCGGCATCGGCCCTAGGCGCTCGTTAACGGTAAATGAATCCAATGGCCCTAGGGCTACCTACGGCGGCGCACGGCTGTACGCCAAGACGCGTTTTTAACATGATTTTTTTGCCACCCCTGCATCAACAAAAGTATCCAATGGGCCTAGTGGCTATCTTCGGCGGCGCACGACTGTACACCAAGACGCGTTTTTAACACGATTTTTTTGCCACCCCTGCATCAGCATAAGTATCCAATGGGCTTAGGGCTTCCGCGGCGCACGGCTGTATCAACATATGTTTATTTGTCTGTAATGGAATCGTATAGTGCTCTTGCATTCCTATATAACCGAACAATTTGGCATTCTTCGCTTTTGCACGAATGGACAGGTCCGTCCGGGGAAGTACCACGACCTCACAGAAGACCGGGATGAAGTGGAAGTGTTATTCCGCTTTTCGTCTGGTGAGTGAGGTAACTGGGGCGTACTTTATCGACAACGCATTTATAACCCTAGGGGTGTTGCAAATGTCCAAGGGCGGCGGTTATCACTTCTTACATAAACAAAAGAATAATGCATGCGTTTTTGCTAGTGTTCAAATTCAAAATAATTACATTGGTCTAATATATATCATAAACAATACATAGAATTTTGCGTTCGTAGTTCTTAACCCTGATGCGAGAAAGGATCCCTTAGCCGCAATAACGATAAATGGTATATTAATAAAATATTAGAATAAGTTTTGCATAACTTTAGAATTAGATCATCAACAGCGAGATTGAGGGCTTAATAACGTATTGAATCAAAATTATGATAAGGAAGCGTGTTTTAGTACTAACGAATTATAACTGTACATAATACAGAAGTTTGAACATCACGGAGAATGAGAGAAACAGAAATGAATCGTAGTAAACGTTTTAAATAAACGAATTTACCTAATTAGACCTTCATTTAGTTAATCGGCGATGAACGATAAAAATGACGCCAATAACTCAATTAGTGTTAATTGCCGTAATGTTTTGGATAAAACGCAAATGCTTTTAATCGCTATTAATGTACTTATATTAATTCTGAAGTAGTTTTAGGTCCGTACGCCATAACCCCCTTGATACGCTATTAAAATTAAATAATAATAAGATGTCTTTTCGAACATTACAAAAATATATGTTTTCGTCGCAAAAGTTTGAGAGCATAGATGAAAAATTTAGCAAGCGCCATCTACAAACTGCTTAAATATTAATTTTCGCGCGGTAAGGATATCGACCGCTTAGTTTAATGGTTAGTGTCTTGTATTAACTGATGTTTGTGCTTTCAGTCCCGAGACTATTAAAGCTTCATCTGACGCAGGTTAGTGTCTAGAAGCGTAATGCAGGAAGCGCAGATTTGAATTCTGACAGCAGCGAACAAATTTTGCGACAGTTTTAACTACACATTTAAAAAACAACTGACATTCCTGCAATTATCCATACTAATATTAACATTAAAAATGGGAAAGTAACGCTGTTTGTCTCACTCTCACGCCAAAACTACTGAACCGATTAAAATGAAATTTGGTACACAGATAGTCTAGAGCCTGAGAAAGGGCATAGACTTTAGGGGCATAGGCATATTTTTAATTGGAAAAAAGTGTTGTAAAGTCTTGAATATATCTTTCTTTAAAATATATATATAGTTTTTAAAGAAAGAAATTTATTTAAGGGCATCAACGCGAGCTAAGCCACGTGCGAAAAACAAACTAGTAGAAAATAAGACTTAACGTCATTCTAAATTACTTTTTTGTATAACATTGCATGTGCCAAATGATGGTACTGTGCGAAAAATTCGTACGGGTCACTTTGTGTACATATCTCTTTTCGCGCTCCTTTGTTACGTCCGACTAGCGCATTCATCGCGACGTGAACGCTTCTCTGTTTCAAAGTTCACGTTGATTATTAAAGTCGCGGTCGACGGAGAATATTTCTGTCATAAATCAAATATACCATCGCTTCAAGACCGCAACTGATGTACGTGTATGTTTTCGAACATCCCATAATTGTTCGAAGCGGTGTTCCCAACGACTCATTGTCCACTGCATCGAACCACTGGCACCGGTCCAAAGCACGCCAAGATACTCGTATTCCTTTGAATTTGTAGTGTGTACTCGAAAATATAGGTACACCTCGAACATCGCCGACGCCTTTCATCTTTAAGTTCCCTTCTGCCTTTTACGCGTTTCTTCTTCTTACTTCCTTACAATGAAATCTTTAAGGATCCTAATGGATGTTCGGGAAATTTGTGATCTTTTATCTTTGGACATTACGGTAAACTTTTAATGTATTTGGCTTTGAAGTACAGTGTTGATTATTAACCTGCTCTTAAACTTATGATCTAAACAGGTGTAACAAACCAATTTTATTATAGATATGAATAATGTATTTAATCTATGTTTTGTAAGAAAAAAGGTTGAAAAAGCATTCAGTGGCCTGAATAAGTGAAAAATATCAATGTGAAAAGACTGTCCAAACCATTTTGAAAAAATTAACGGAATGATCCCATGCGGACGCCCTGGACAATTTGTGAAGGTCAACTTTAAAAATGTGCCCTTTCATAGCAATTCAGGTTTTTGTTTTAGAACTTTTAATAGAATAAAAACCTTTATACCAATGCCAAAACATAAGGCTTCATCGTGAACAGAGTTTGGATATCAATTGCGTGGTGCCAAATTAAAAAAAAAAAACACGAGTAGAAACATCGCTATAACTAGGTAGGAAGAGCGATAATCGCTTGGCAAGTGCTCGTTCTATTAGAAACAAATGTTGGCAACAGTAACGCCCGCATTAACATAGATCAGCGTCGATCGCCCGTACAATTAGGATGCTGCGGCGATCCCACGCGTTCGGCTATTTCGGCTGTGGTACAAGTCACAAGAGAGTAAGACAAGAGAGAGTATTTGAAAAATAATAAAAGTACACACGATATATCAGCCTCATACCTCCGTTTGCCAGCGAGTTGTGAAAAAAACTGTTAAAAGAGTTAACAGGGCTTTTTTTTTATTTTTTTATTTTATTGAAGAGTGTTTTTACACAAGTAGGTAAATATCACCCTCATAGTACAAACTTAGTTACATAAACACTTAAACAAAAAATTAGCGCCTGCTTAAACATTTTTGAACAATATTATATAGTGTTCTAGCATCTACAGAAGTTGGAAAAGCTAATACACTATTACAAAAACCAACATCTAATCTATTATATAACGTTTTATAAAATATTATAAAAATTATTTTATCCTTCTTGTAATTTTTGAATTCCCGCTGTCACATTATTACATGTTGTGTAAAGAACGAAGTCATCGGCGTATTGCGATATAAATATGGTAGTGATATCTTTGCAAACCTTTTGGGTAACAATGTTAAATAATAAGGGAGACATAGGGTCACCCTGTGCTAAACCTAAGTTAGTCTTTCTGCAAACTTCTGCATTTTCTAATGGGATTTTTAAGTTACGGTGTTCCAAAAAATTCCAAATATAGTAACAAAATTTATGCCCGACTCCTATTTCGTCTAATTTTTTAACTAAAGATACTAAATCCACATTATTGTATGCACTATTTATATCAATAAAACACGCAATTGTCGTTTTCTTAGTAAATCCTCCTAAAATT